AAAAACTGTGTGATAGGGTTGTTCTGGGCTGCTCTCCATGCTTTTTGTTTTAAGAGATTGCTTCTAGTTTTCTGGTTTGAAGTGGGATTAGGGAAAAAAGGTGAAACAGAGAAATAACTCAGAAGCATTTTTTACCCTCTTTTGAAAACAAAGGTCTGTAACCTAAGTCTGCTGGAAAGGAAGAGGTTAAAGTGTTCTGACCTGACAGATACCTAAAGCAGACAGTGATAGGTATGGTTCTGAAATTTCCATGCAGATCTAAATGGCAGCTGTATTCCTTTTGGGATTCTTTTCTGGAAAGAATATCTTTGAATGACTTAGCCTAGTTAGTGTCAGTCAATGTCAAAAATTATAAAATATCTGTCACTTCAGCTAACAATATTCTTAAATGCAGAGCTCGTCTGGAAGATTGGAGGGCATCTAGAGGAAAAGTGATGAGACGACCTCCTGCATATGCGCTTCTTGGATCCCAGTCTACAAGTGAAGAACAAGAATACTCTTCTGCTGATGATTTAAAGCACATATTACACAGTGAAAAGGTCAACAAGATTCTCAGCGAATGCCTGCAGTTAACAGAACAGGTATTTGGACCCTTGCCTACTGAGTTCTGATCATGTAGGTCCCGACAACACACAAGTACTACAGGTGTGTTAGACCCATGTGAATCGGGTGCAGGGGACTAATTGCTCCCCAAGTTAAGCAATGTCATAGCTTTTGCCAACACCTGAAAAAATTAAGCTTTACCAATTTACTGAATTACCGAATAAGAATAGGCAATAATGGTAATAATAGTAGAAGAGCTATAACATAATGGGTAGCTAGAAGGAATTAATCTAAAACAAGTTTGCATTTGCAGAAATTTGTCTGTACTTCTGAAAAAGTCTGTTTCAGGTAGTTCTGAAGATGTCTATACATTCTACTACCTCTTCTACTTACAATACTGTATAAATAATTCTTATTTGGAAGAATAGGGGAATAACAATTCTTCTGCCAAAGAAAGAAAAAAAATTTGCTTCCTAGTTCAAAACCAGCTAAGCTATGGCACCTAAATGTGTTAACTGCATTTAAATCTCTGCTTTTGTGTTGACTTTAGGGATGTCGAGGTGATGAAATACGTGCAATGTTGGAAGACCTCACACAGAGCATTCCTGGGGTTAAAAAGCTTGCGAAATATTGGAACTGCTGTATTCGTCTTGAACAGAGGGGCCCTCTTGAAAAGCTTATTGCTGTCTATGAGGAGGCCATTTTGGCAGGAGCAATGGTAAGCAGCTTTCCTTGAAGTTTGAGATTAACAATTAGCGAGGCATGAAAGTATGGCATGTAAAATACAACTGCTTCTGATTTTATTAAATCCTTTTATGGTTGAAGGAGAGCCATGTGACTTACTTAAACATTAAAATAAAGGATTTAGTTTCCTCTGTAACCACTGTAGATACTACTTTGAAGAAAAAAGGTTTAGGATCGTTGAATTGCCATATGATGTTCCACTTAGAAGGAATTAAGGATTGAGACTTCTAGTATCATTAGAAATGCAAAATATAACTTAATTTTACACTTATTGATGGATTTCACTTCTGTGCCTTAATATCAGTAGGATTTCAGGGCATCAAATAACAGCTTTAGTGCACCAAATGCAGAAAATACAGGATTCACTTGTTTTCTGACTTATGTCTGAACAGCACTAAACAAAGGGTTTCTAAGATGAACCTCATGTGGTCTGTACCACTTTCCCTGTAACTATTACATGAAACAAATAAGCTGAAACAATGATTATTTTTGGATTTGTTTTTCTAAAACAGTAAAACTTTTTTTCAGCCTAAAGAAGAACTACGGCACACACTAATAGATACTATGAAAAATAATGAAAGCCTTTTTAAATCTGAGAATGGTAAGTTTGAGACCTCTATTTTAGTTAAATGTGTGACTTAACAGGCAACACAAGCTGTGTACAGAACACAAACTATTTGTGTTGATATTAAAATTTATTTCATAGAAAAATTTCTGTGATAATTTTGTACTCAATTGTCTTTGAAAACAATCTTGACTAAACAAATACTTTTCAATAGTGGGCATGTTACAGTCATTGGAGATGCTCTTGTATTCAAACTTTCTACTTAAACTTTATCAAAGCTATTTCAGCCTGATAATCAAAGAGTAAATAAAAATATTCTTGTGAGCTAGAAATCAATGCCCCTTTGACACAAACTCCTTGACTACAAGAAGCATGGTTGTGTTTTGGCAGAGCGTCAGTTAAAGGTTCTGAATATTTTAATTTTGGAAGTAAAGTAGCTATAAATATTCCCCTTTAATATAACATAACCTGACAAGTATTTGAACCCAGAAACTGCAATATTTGTTGAGAGCTGCTGCACTTGGAAAGGAACAGAATGACTTCTCAGGACGTGTACTTAATCTGAGTTTTCAGGTTGCAGGTTCTCAAAGGCGACTAAAACTATTAGTAACTTAAATTGTTGTGGCTCAGACTCAACGCTTACTTAACTTTCATTCTCATGTAAAGCTCTAAGATTTCAGGGATCTCTCTAAAACGTTCTCCTTAGTCATAACTAATCACAGCTGTACTTTCTTCTGTATTTTATTTTTAGGGGAAACTGTGATAGAAGCTCATTTAAGTGAGTTAATGGAAGTCAGCAAGGAACCAAATTCATCTGTAGAGCCAGTTCAGGAAACCCTCAAGGATTTCTGTTCTGATGATGTCCAAAAAGCAGAGAGTGATACCAAGAAGACAGAGGCAAGCACTGAAGCTATCCAGAAAGAAGAAACTGATTTAGACTTAAAAGCAAGGGAAGCGATCTTACCAAAAAAGAATAAAAAGCACAAGGCTAAAGAACGTACAAAAAAGAAAGGAAAATGTGAAACAGAACAGCATGAGGATGGGATAAAAGATATGGCTCAAGCAGTTAATTCTCCTGAGAAGGGGAATGACAAATCTTGTTCAATGAAATACAATCCTCCTACCACACCATACTTGGAAAGGTAAGATTACTTCAGGTAACTATGGAAAGTCTGCAGTGTCTGGAGAAACAATAATGTTTGTGTCCTGTTGGAACAGAGAGGCATTGCATTTGTGAATACCTAGTTAAAAGCTCTCAAGAACTTTTATTTTTAGGATTGCTTCCTCTTCCTTCAGAAGGAAGTATTTTAAAATAAATTTATCTATTTACTCAAACTGTTTTGCTTTGTGAATGCCTCACTACAGAGTAACCAGACTTTTGTGGCAGAGACATAAATTCCATCTTTGGGATGCCCTCCCACAGCCTACATCACAGTAAGCAGTTCTACACTAAGCTAGGGAAAGAGAAAGTAGGTGTCTCCAGTCCTCTCCTTTTCAAATGCAGATGTGATTGTATGTCGTACAACATAGAAATACTGAACAAGATGTAACTGTCCTGAAGTGGTTATCTTGAGGCAAAAACCTGGGTAGCAACCTCAGTATAAACCAGATAATATTGACATTATTTTTTTTTTTAGCATAAAGTTTCTTCTAAGATAGCAGACTTAGGAAAGTTGTGCTCAGCTTTGACATCTGATGAAGCTGGAGACCTGGCAGCTGTCCACTATCCCTCATAGCAGGAAGACCATTTTGCCCCTGATGGAATAGGGAAGGATCTTCCTTTGGGAACTGTTTTCAGGAGGTTCTCTGGGTTAAAATATTTTGCCAAAGAAAAGTTGTATAGCTGGTTCTAACTGTATGAATGGGAAAGGGCCTGTTTCCTTTGATTGTGGGAATGGGAAAGAATTGAACATGAATCATGACTTGCTGTGTCTGCCAGATGCTAGAAAGGTAACTTGTATGATGGTGTGCCTATGTTTAGTGATTTTTTTTTTATTATTTTTTTTTTCTTTCTCAAAGAGCGAAGATGTCTCATGAGGCAAATTACTCCAGTGGTAAAGATCTGAAAATTGTAACCCCTTTGCGATATTCTCAACGCATTCGAGACAAAATGTGCAAGCTGCCTGATACTGGCAAAGATCAAGATCCATGTGTCTCTTCACTTGAACAGCTGGAAGAATTGGAATCAAAAGCCACTGTATTTATCCACGAACAGAGCAATGCCTTCCGAGAAACAAATGCCGAAATAGAAGAGTAAAAACTAGTGTTACTGTTATATAGGGGTTAAAGATTTGATTTTAAGGAGAGTTGAATGGGACTTGTTTTTAGCAGCTTTGAGAGAGGATCTATCTAAAACTCATGTGAATGGCTTAAGGTGAAATTTGACTGCCTGAGTCACTAAATAAACTTTTAAAGTTTCTACCTTTTCAAAATTGTAATAAATCTGCTCTGGTTTAGTACTAGATTGATGTCTGTGTTTAACTATGTTTCATTAAATATCAAACTAAGGACTAGGTGTAAAGCTTCATGTTGTAGTATATTGCTAATACCTACTCTTCCTCTTGCAATTGCAGAACTCTAAGGAATTCTTAGGAACCTTTCAATTTAAGAAAATAAACAGTAATGTAGGCATTCTAATAGGTCAATGTCTACTCCATCACCTAGTTTTGAAAACTGAAGCCAGCTTGTAAGGTGTAGGCTAAATTTAAACTTTTATTGAGTTTTAGAGGTGTTTCAACAAAACATTTTAATCTCTTTAGTTACTGACATTGTTCATTATCAAGTAATCTTAGATGAGGTCTGATACACTACTTACGTGACTGTTTTAATGTTGGTTTGCATTAGTCTCTAATACAGTAGACATTAAACTTATCAACTGAGTTGCTTTTGTTCTTTATTTATAGGCTATATGCTGTAAACTATGTAGTCTGTTCTTGAAGTGAAGTGTCAAAGCAGAATACTGATATTTTCCACACTCATCACACACAGTGTTTCCCTATTCATCACGCTCCGAGGGACAGCCCTCCCTGCCGGTGGCTCCGCCTCCGAGCCGCGGGCTGGGCGTTCCCTCCCAGGCAGCTCCGTTCTCCTTCCCATCCTCCGCCCCCATCCCGGCCCGGGGAGGTTGTGGAGCAAGCGCTGGGCTTGTGCTAGGGTCTGTGCTCGGGCCTCCGCCCGGCGGGATTGCGGCCCGCCGAGGTGAGTACCCGGCGGGCCTGAGGGGCTGGGGGCGGGCTGGGGCTGCTCCTCCTCAGGCTAGAGGAGCTGTAGAAACAAGCCCCGAGATGCTTTTCAAAAACAGCTCATCAGCCCCTTAAAACACAGTCACAGTGTGTGCACAGTGTATACATAAAGGGATGCTTGGAACGTGGCAAACCAACTTAAAAACACCAGCGTATTGGGAAAAAAGGAGAATAGGTCACTGCTGTGTGTGAAATGCTTGAGAAGCGTTTTTAGCAGAAAATGGGAACGTGGGAGTTTGAGCAGTTGTGGGAGCTCTCTGGTGTGGGATTAAACTCCATAGCCATGTCCTCTCCAGAGCGAGAGGACATGGCCTCAAACTGTGTCAGGGGAGGTTTGGGTTGGACAGCAAGAGGAATTTCTTCATGGAAAGGGTTGTTTAATGTTGAACAAGTTGCCCAGGGAGGTGGTGGAGACCATTTCTGAAGGTGCTCAAGAAATGACTACGTGTGGCATTTCAGTGCCATGGTCTGGTTGACAAGGTGGTCATCAGTCTTAAGGTTGGACTTGGTGATCTCAGAGGTCTTTTCCAGCCTCAGCGATTCTCTGATACAGCTTAAATGCAGTGATAGGACAACTGGGAACAACTCAGAACTGAACCAGGGGGAGCTTTACACTGGATGTTAGGGAACATTTCTTTGCTGAGAGGGTGGCCAAACACTGGAACAGACTTCTTAGAGAGGTGGTCAGTGCCCCAAGCCTGTCAGTATTTAAAAGGCATTTGCACCATCCCCTTACTAATGTGATTTAACTTTTGGTCCCCCCTGAAGTGGTAAGGCAGTTGGACTAGGTGACCATTGCAGGTCCCTTCTAACTAAAATACTCTGGATCTTCCAGTTGTCGAAGTCGATGTGTAGTAACTTTTACCAGTTTGATCCTGCTTATAGTGAGAATTGTCACCGGAAGCTTGAAGCTTATGTTATTGTGCCTATGAGTTTTCCTTAGTGTTATGAAACCACCTGCAGGAGCGCAGATAACAAAAAGAAGATGCAGTGTTGTAGGTTTGCAATTTACATTTTCAAAGAGCTTTAGCGTTTGAAATTAAAAAAATGCAGCAATAATGCTGTATCAAGCTTTGAGTTTTACTTTCTGGAGGCCTCATTTTCAGTAAAATCATGTAGCAGTGCATAGAAGTATTATGGTAATGCTGGAAAGTTGTAGGTACCCACGTTTATCAGTCATTCTTGTTATTTTGTGGATTTTTTTGAAGAGAAGTGTTGGGCCTGGGCCTATAAAAAATGGAAGAATACAAAGTGTTGAAAGTACTAGGAGAGGGATCCTTTGGCAGAGTTCTCCTAGTTCATCATGGAATCAGTGACCAGAAGTATGCGATGAAGGAAATAAGACTTCCCATGGTAAGTGTGACACATATGCCTCCTCACCCACTGCTTAAAAAAAGTAAAATTTTAAAAAAATCATAATTGCGGATGTGTTTTTGAAACGCTGAACACTTTTGCTGCAAATTTTGTGTATTAGACAGTTGCATGGTATGGTTACTGTATAACTGTATAACTATGTCCTACTTTACTCCTACTGAGTAAAGTAGGAAAATCTGATCCGATTCAGAAAGTGCATGGTTACATTTTGGGAAGTGCAGCACATAGGAAGACACTTTCAATGAAATCCCTGTTCCCCGATGCCCTTGATTTCACTGGAATGCAGATTTCACCTGCAGTGCCTAATGAGAAAATTATTATTATTGCTAGTAATCACTTATTTTGGATTATCTTCTCTGCATCTAGATAAGCAAAAAAATCACTAAATGGGAGACACCAGCTTTCTGGAGCCTGAGGCTCAGTTAATATTTGGGCTCTTGGCTTTATATTGAGTTCATGCAGACTGTCAGCTGTTCCAAAGTTGTTGTGTGCTGCTTTGTTACATAGTTCTGCACTTTTAAAATAGAAAGTCGTTAATTGAAGTAGGAAAATATCCTCTCAAAAAAAAAAGAAATATTAAAATCCTAACACTTAAAAAGCTCAAAGATGTCTTCAGCTAGTAATAAACCATAGATTAAAAAGACGGGGCTTTGGGGGTTCTAAATATAAATTTAAAAATAACTGAAAAATAATTCTTAAAAATATTTTCCTTTTGGAAAGTGAAGTGTATTGTGTGTCTATGTGAAAATTTATTAGTGTGACATTTATACAGGTGTACTTATATTTTCAGTCTTCGTCTGGTGTAGAGAACTCTAGGAAGGAAGCAGTTCTTTTGGCTAAAATGAAACATCCGAATATCGTTGCCTATAAAGAATCATTTGAAGGTAAATATAAAAATTTAAATTCCTTCATTTGTTTCTAGTTGCATGCTCCTCAGGGATCAAGATTACTTCTTTTTGTTTACAATACATGTTATAAACAAAATACATATTTATTGTAACATATAACACATAGCATGTAGTCAGAGCTTTATAGTAAAAAGTGCTACTTACAATAAAAAAAGTACTTATTCTGCTAATGAAACTACTAACTGTTCTTAAATTACCTAAAATTTAGCTGATGGACATCTGTATATAGTGATGGAATATTGTGACGATGGAGATCTAATGCAAAAGATTAAACACCGAAGAGGAAATTTGTTCCCTGAAGATATGGTAAGAAAAGACATTGTTTTGAACCAGGGAGCCAGAAATCCTGTTTCATGTAAACTGAAACATGCTGCATAAACCAAATTATAGATATGGAAACACCATGAGGTACCTTAAATAAAACAAAGGCACTTATAGATAGAATAGGAAAGTTATTTCTTTTATAATTTCCAGCAGAACAAGGCAAGAATTGAACTGAAAGGATTAAAAAAGGAATTCCTGCCTGTATCTGGGAATTGTGCAGATAGTGAGAAAAACAGTCAGGTTTGTATGCAATTAAATAAGAATTTTACAGAAACTTCAGACAGAATTTAAGGCACAGTAAGATGTACTGCAAATGAAAAGTAAACAAAGCACTCTGGCAAAGATAAATTAAGCTAGCCAAGAGACCATGTAGCAATTAAATGTTTAAAGTATTCAGCAGGCATTAACTCCTTTTATCAGAGGGGCTATAAAATTACTTAGAAGAAAGTTCAAAGGGACATTATAGTGAATGAAAGCTGCTTCTTGCCACAGTTAGAAGCATCACGTCAGTTAAAACGAAAGGACCAGAAATCTCAACTAACTGAATATTTAGATTTTCTATGCATGTTTGCATCTTTAGGAGTTTTCTTTTGTACTTTAAAAGGAACACATTTTCTTTTAGAAACTGTGTGTTATTTCCCCATGGGTTTTGTTTTTGTTTTGTTGTTTGGTGGGTGGGGTTTTTTATTTGCTAACTTACTATGAAACTGTAGTTAACTTGCTTATAAAATGACCGTGAGATAAAATGCCATGTAGCAACTCCCTACCTTCATCATTGTTATGTATTATTACCGCTTTCTAGACACAGTTAATAAACATTTCTTCTACCATATTAAAATATAATTTATCCTGAACTCAGTCTTTCATGCTGATGTGAGGCCATTATGTTAGAGGTACTTTTAACTCCCAGATATTCGGAACATGCTTTTCTTTTCCTAATTTTTTTTATCTATTAGTATTCACTACATACAGCATTGAGCTGTTATAAGTACTAGTTACTCTTTTTCAGATCCTTCACTGGTTTGTGCAGATGTGCCTGGCGGTGAAGCACATTCATGATAAACGTGTGCTGCACAGGGATATAAAATCCAAGGTGAACAGAGCAAGTTTTGTTGCCATTAAAGACCTCTTCTGCATGTAAAAGTTAAACTCCCTCTTTCATAATTTCCTGTGACAGCTAAGTTCTGTGTTTTTTATTTAGGCCTAAGAATATCATGTAAATGAAACTGTTGAGTGCATGGGATGATGTAATATTGCAGGCGTAACCATCATCTAAGTATAGATATATCCTTCGTATCCAAACTGCTGATAGCACTAATTGCTTGTGACAGACTGCATATAGTTTAAAACAGTAACAGAAGTATAAAAAAAGTGTATAGATTATGCAGTTTTTTAATGTCTTGCCTCACATTTTTTTCTTTGTTACTGTTAGCTATCAGAAAGAGGGAAATTCAGAAGAAAGTGTGACCTTATTGGTTTGAGTACAGCATAGAGATTAAGGCAATTCTAAGCTGTGATTCTTCCTCTGCTAATGATGCTGGGGTTAGGCCCATATAAGCTTTCCATTTCCCTGGACATAGTTCTATGTCATGGAATCAAAGAACATGACATAGTTCTTAGCTTTTTTTTTTTTTTTGGTAGAAGTATTAGGAGAAACAAGTAAAAGGAAATATAAAGATAAAATACTAGAAGTGATTGCCACCATGTTTTCTGCATATACAAACTGCAGAAATGATTCCTAGAAGAATATTTCAGTACATTAATCTATGCTCTTGAAATGCAGAACATCTTCCTCACTCAAAACGGGAAAGTGAAATTGGGAGATTTTGGATCTGCACGCCTTCTTGCACAGTATGTGGACATCTCCACTGATCTCAGTGGTGTCAAGTTTTATTTTACCATTGACAAATAGTACAGAGTTCTTAAATCATGGCTTTCCACCTGGTGTTTCTTCTTTGTTGTTTCAATAGCCCGATGTCATACGCTTACACATATGTGGGAACTCCTTATTACGTACCTCCAGAAATATGGGAAAACATGCCATACAACAACAAAAGGTACCTGTGTTTTCAGTGGTCACAAATAATGCCTGACTGATGTAGGGTTTTTTATTGCTGTCTCAATCTGGCTTTGTGGCTTATCTGTATTTGGTTTAGAGAAGATACTGAGCTGAAGTGTTTTTAGAAAGAGGTAATTACAGGTTTTTTAAGATGAAAGTGCAGAAATTCCTCTTTAGTTATGTAACTGAGAGCACAATATCTTTAGTCTTAGAAGTTTGAAAACTGTTGTGCAGACATCTGTTTGTTTGGGAGAGTAAATATATGCACACAAACATACACACAAATACCTACCTATCTGTGCACATACATAGGTATGTGTTTACATCTTTTGCTGGTCTTGTGGTTTTTTTTTTTGACTCATCATATTTTTTAAGCTCTTCACGCTGGTCATAATGTAGGGATAATGGCACAAAATGGATTACTTAGATTTATGGGGCCTAGTTTTTCTGGTCCTGATGCAAGAACTTCTGAGAGCATCTTGATAGTACCGTTTTTACAGCTTCTTCCCAGACTCCCAAATACTAAGCCATGTTATGTTCCCTCCCCTAGATCTGTTCTGTGACCCTAGTTGTGCAATTGATTTTCCATAGGAGGGAAGAAACCTTCTAGAAGTTCAGGGGTTTTCTGCTCCTCTTGGAAGAAAGATATCAGTCGCTTCTTGTGCAGGTGGCAGTACTCACTTTTGATGGAAAATGATGGGTTTTTTCTCAGTAGGAGAGTTCTTATTGGCAGGGCCAGAATTCCAGCTCTCAGAATAAGGATTGTGTGGCTGCCATCTGATGTTAGGGGCTATGGAATACAAAGACTTTCAAGGATGGAAGGATAACTGTTGTTGCAGCAAATTGTTTAAGAGACATCCTAGGAATAAAAAGGCAACTACAACTGTATGACAGTCATCTTTTTTTGCATCAGGGTAGGATAAAATAAGCAAAAACATTTCCACTGGAGAGGTTAAATGCATAATTGTGTTGTCTTTTATAGTTACTTACATTTATTTTTAGTTTATTCAATTAAGTTATGTACACAGATTGAATCTCACTTTTTCGAAGCAGGATATTAAATTGTAATTTTTGACTCAAAACTTTTCATCCTTGTCTATATCTACAGTGATATATGGTCTCTGGGGTGTATTCTATACGAGCTGTGCACTCTAAAACATCCGGTAAGTACAGCTTCATTGCTATCAGAAAAGTTTTGGAATTCCTTAAAACTTAATTAGCAGTTAGCTGTACTGTAGATTTGACTGATGTGTTTGCTGCCTCTTCCAAAAGAGGGAAGTATTGCTCCACCCTTCCCAGACCTCTTCCACTATGTGCCTTCTGTTTTTCAGCAGTTCTCGGGACCTACTGGACCCTTCTGTAGAAGACTCAATTTTCAAAATTGTTAAAAAACAATTTTTTTTTTCTTGGTTAACTTTCCTCAATATCAGTGATCTGGGACTTATTAAGGAGTCCAGCAGTTGCCAGGCAGGTTCCAGATATCTGCAGGGATATTGCAGTGAGCATTGCATTTTACAGGATCAAGATGATCACAGGAGATATAGGCAATGACACTCAAAATCTTTACTAATGAGAATATATTGTGTGCAAGTACAGTGAAAGGTAGAAAGCAATAAGCAGTTTTGTATCTCACATCAGTGATATACCTTTGCTTATTCTTCGAATCAAAGAAGTCACTGTCAAAGCACTGTCCTCCTCTTGGACCATGGGATTCTTGATGTATGGTTCTGTCTTTCTGTCGTTCCTGGGACACTGTCTTTTACAGTCTTGATGCTGTGTTTCTTATGTGTTAACTTCCTCTGGCTTCTATATACAGACACACGGGTAACAGAAGAGCCCTCATCAGGATATTTTTGTTTGGCAAGAAAATGAGATCCTAATTGAAGGTCATTTTGTCGTAGTTTTTTATAAGCAGCAGTTTCCTTTTGTTGAGGTAATACTATACCTTGAAATCACAGAACCACAGAATATTCTGTTTGGAAGGGACCCACAAGGTTTATCAAAGTCCAGCTCCTGGACCTGCACAGAACAGCCCCCAGAATGATACCATATGTCTGAGAGCATTGTTCAAATCCTGCATATCAGCAAAAGATTCTCCACAACTGCAACTGCTGTGCAAGAGTGTATTGACTGAGCGATAAAGGAGTCTGTGCATGGGTGTGTGTTAGCCTAAGTAAGTCTGTGGCAAGGCTTTGGCAGTGTCACAGCTATTCAGGCAGAGCTCAGAGCTGGGGTTCAAAGGAATGGAGTATTCTTCCCTTTTTAGCAGCATTGAAATGTTATGTGTCTGGTTTTGTGTGATGGTCACACATGTTCTTGCATCGTCTATCAGAGGTGATGCCACACACTGTGGATGTTTGGTACTCTGCAGCCAAGCCAGCAGAGTGTACCCAAAGAAAACTTCCTGCGTGGAGGTAGAAGTTCTCAAACATTTAGATTTGCAAGAGGGTATTTGTGCCTTTATAGGCTACTTTTAGTAATTTTTTTTAAAATCAAAGTCTGTGTATTTCCTAGCTTGCCGTTTCACTCTTGCAGTTTAAATCTGATGATGAATTTGATTAATCCTAAATTTATAGGAGTAACTCTCCCATCTGCTTTCCAGTTGTAAAGATTATTGTTTGCAGCGTTCATTATGATCTGGTTTTAGTCACTGTGATGTTTTCATTCTCAGTAAATTTCTGTCATTATTGACATCATTAAATGCCCATGCAACGGCCCTACAAAATTTAGAGGAAAGTTCTTAGTGTTGTTTTTTCACACCTCTAAAACTGTCAAACTGGAAGCCAAATCAGGTGGTAGTAAGGGAGCCTACAAAAATATATACTATGCATTTTTATATAGAAAATATTAAAGCTCCTCTTAAATCATGTCAGCATTTTTTTACCTTATGCTTAAACTCTCTGCTCTCATGTTCATTTATTTTTAATGCAGTTTCAAGCCAATAGCTGGAAACATCTCATCCTTAAGATATGCAAAGGGTCCTACAATCCACTACCATCTCACTACTCCTATGAACTTCATTACTTAATAAAACAGATGTTTAAGAGAAATCCTCAGGATCGTCCATCAGCCAGTACTATTCTTTCAAGAGGTTGCTTAACCAAACTTATAAAAAATTGTTTGCCTTCTGAGGTATAGTATATTCTTTGTCTCTGTACTTAAGCAATGGTATCTACATTTTAAGTACTAAATCATTTTCTTTTGTAGTTTGTTAGTGTATAACTATAAAATGTGTTGTGTAGGTCCTACTCTAAAAGCCATAAATACAGTTGCAGACTTCTCAGAGAGCTGAGTTTTTAAAAGGATTTGTTTTGAAAATTAAACTTGAATATTGACCTGATGCAGCTGAAATTAGGTATTGCAGCTGTTTTGTATAGTGACTATTTGTAAAAATAATGTAACATAAAAATTGAGGAAGTTAAAAATGGTACAGTACCTCCATCTTTTTATACACATTCCAGATGATAAAAGAGTTTGAGCAGGTAGTAAAGGAAACCAAGAAACATGAAGGCAGTGCAGCAAGACGAAAGGGTAAGTGAACAACATTTTTGTTGATGTAGGGAATGACAAAATGACTAGGAAATGTAAGATCTTAAAAATAGCTATAAAACATTAGTACTATATGTTCAAATCTACTTTTAATTATTTCAATATCTAATGTTATTGAAGCTATATAGAAAATGTTTGAAGGGTGTAAATTATATTCCAACGTAAGTAGAGTGCAAAGCTGCAATATATACATTGTTAGGCATAAGACTTGTGCTAGAAATAATTCAGTTTTAAAATAAGCAAAACTTTTAACTGTTGCATGTATTTTAAATGAGTTCTTTCTTTCCTGAAATATGGTGAAGCAAGTTACGTTCACTATTTAGTTTTTAGAGAGAATGTTGGATTTTTTTCTTCTGCATAAATTAAGCTACACCAAAATTTGTACATGTTTAGAACTGAATAGTAGAGGGACTCCCTGTTGAGAATGAGTTCTGTTGACAGAAGTGTGAGGAAGCTATCACATAATTTTCATTGCTTGGTTCAGTGGCATTGCTGTCATACCTCTGGAATGCCACTTTACTACAAATGTTTGCTAAAGGTGTTAATTCTTCAATCTCTTACTTAATGTATCAGGCAGTGTCATGGCTGGTGGAAGCTCAAATAATAGGAAAGAAAATAGGGTAAGTATCCAAATACAAATATAATATTTGTATTTTAGTAATTTAGAGTGTTCTATATGATAGAAAAGTTCTTATGGAAAATTATTAGTATACTAAACCATGGATCAGCCTACTGGATCAGCTGTCCTCTGTGTTCAAATTGCAGTTTTCCTGTGCATTTTTCACCACTCTAACTTTTTGATTTTTCCCATATTTAGTTTAGTTCCAATGTGCATTTCCTTATAACCCTGTCAAAACAAAAACCCAAACAAAAAAATCTGCTCTTGTTTTTCTAAGTTTTTTGGATTCTGCAAAAATTTATGCATTTTCATTGCTTCAGGGGAACACTGAGAACAGGCTGCTGTGGAAACGGTCTAGTCTGAACATAATTCTCACCAGGTTTTAGGGCCCATGTGAGATTTGAGGTGAGGAGAATTAAGTTACAGGTAGCCAAGATATCGCCTATGGGCACATTACAGCAGAGCCTGACTCAGCTGTACTTGGTATATTTTTAAAAATGTGTTGCCATGGGGCTTATTTTTTTTCCTTTTCATAGGCCTGTCAATCTGAGAAGTTTAATATTTGGGTGCATCTTGTTTTCCCTGGGAATATAAATAATTTATCCTTATATTGCTTCTGTTCTTAAATGTAAAAAAAACAAAACAAAACAAAACACAAATTGCATCAAGTAACTACATGTGTGCTTAGCTTCATAAACTGAGATGGTCTGTCAAAAAAAGGCATGCAGTGTGAAATGCTGTGCAGTAATAGGTACTGTGCAATTGCAACTGGCTTCATCGTCAGTGGTTTAGTTTTCAGGTCTTCAGATCTTTAGGCCAGCAATTTTATAGCAAAACTGTTATGTTAATATTACTGCTTGTTTTTTCTCGGCAACAAGGATAATGATTAATGCAGTCTTTATTTTTTTAAAGCAAAGAGAAGATGAAAGTAGCAATCGTAGCCCCTTAGAAAGGAAAAATATTACTGAGAGTTTGAGTGAAGGCACAAAGGAACAAAGGAAATCTGAGCAAGAGGGTAAGTTTTACAGTTTTAAGGCTGATGCACTTCCTTCTGTGTAGTGATACCTACATGTCAATGATCCAACCATTTAAACAGGTAGCACAAACAAGCCTGAAGCTGTAGAAAACCTTTCCACCACCAGTTACTTCTGCAGTTGCATTGATTGATACTGCTCCTCAGAGATGTTAAAAAAAATATTTTTAAAATTATCTTGGCCAAATTATTAAAAAATTTGTTTGAAAACATTTGTAATAGAGTAAATGCATGGGGAGCTCTTACCAAGTCGGATTTGTACCCATAGAATCAAACATCACTGCTAGTTAAGTGCTGTACTCTTAGTACTGCTTGGCCTGGACAGGGCAATCTGGACAGAGAATCAAGTTAGATGCTTGTTATCGTCCTTTTTTTGTTACAATTACAATAGAAACGTCTGCTTTCCTTGCAGGAGATATTGATTTGTCACATGTCCACAGGAGGCAATGGGAAAAAAGGATATCCAATACTGTACTGGATGTCCTGGAAAATGCATCCTTGCTTTCTTCCAGTTTTACACCTGAAGAGACTGAAAGTAAGATTTGATTAAATGTGGTTTTAGTTCAAGTAATATCAGTGATTCTTTATAGATTTTAAAGGCCAAAATTTTACAGGACATGTTTAAAATGATGTAAAATTAATTTTAAAATATTTCATTAACAACTAAAAAGTCCGCTGTGCTGAAGAGAATTTCTTTGTGGTTTTGTGTGACAGGAGAATTGCAAAGAGTGATGAAAACCACAGATAATGCTAGCAACCCTAAAATTGTAATCATGACTAAGAAATTACCCTACAATTCTCCTCTTAATATGATGTTCGTGGAGGTAACAATGAGGAATTCATTTGATGCAGAATGAAACTGCCCATCTTTCAACTATGGGATACTATTGGGAGCATAAAACATCTGTACCTCTACTTCTGTTGTCATTAACATCCAGAAAAGGTCAATGACAATAACTATCAATTATGACCTCACATGTGAGGCATAGATTTTTCTTCCACATCTACAGCTTTTAATTAAAACACTTAACATGAGATTTCTTCTAAAAAATGTTTCAATTTTAAAATGCCCCTCACTTATGCCACTGTTATAATTATTTAATGTGATTATAGATATGTATTGTAAGGAACTGTGAATAAGTGCTGTGGAAATAAATAGTCAAAATATAAGTAGTCAGAAAATTCCCCAGCTGTGGTAGGAATGTTGCATGATAATTATATGCACAAGGGAAAAGGACAGAAGAATGCATGTATTTAGGTGTTCTGCTATTAAAAGGCACAAAAATGGCCTCAGGCTCCATTTTGTGGGATTCATAGAGCCACCACATAAGCTTGCAGAGACTCTGACTCCTCACATCCCTCGGCCTGTTTTTGCTAGCTTCCTGTCAGCAAAAAGTTCCACTGTGACCATTCTGTAACTTGCTGTCCTTTTAATGCTGACAGTGTCAACCTTAGTTTTTTGAGAGGTCAGTGGTGCTACAGATGGAAATACCTAGACTCTCTTCTTCCTTTGTTTCTCTCTTGAATGTGATCTTCAATGTAATCCACACTGCTAATGCCATTTTATCTAAGTAGTATTTATGAATACTTTCTACCCAGGTGGTGGTGTTATAAACTACTGTGAAAAAAAGCCACGTAAGCAGTGGAACAAGGAAACTCCTCAGACCCTGATGAACATTCTCACTAATGCAGATGTCAGCCTAGCATTTAAAACATACACAATTTATAAGCCAGGTAAATCCCCAGTTTGTGGGCAAACATTTATACAAACAGGTTTATTAATAAAGACTTTTCCCTTTCTATTTTTTTTCATACATAGCCCCCATATATAGACATTGTGCACTTGAATTCATATCACAACAGGTTGGGTGGCTTTTTTTAAGTTTATGAAACGAGACGTGAAATTACAAAAAGCCAGGATTAGAATTCACGAGTGATTGTACATCTCCATTACAGCTCTTTATGATGGACTTTCACTTGCAGCTCAACAGCTGAATGAAGTTGTGACCAAAATGCAGATGCTGTAGAGCCAAGTGTCCTCCATCCTGCTGAGTGGCCTGGTGTATGTGTTAGGGGGGTGCAATAAACACACTGCAGCCCTATCAGGTAAATCCACTTCCACTAAGTCAGCAATGCCCTGTTTTGAGGGCAGGATGGTAAAATGGTACAGCTAAAGACAGATGCAGCCTATAGATGTGCACAGCCACAGATACTTGTTCTGCATTTAAAATAGGGAACAACTTGACCTGGAATCTACTACAAAGTGGGGACAAATTAGAAAGACTACATAGTATTAATATTTTTAATAGGTTTATTTTTAAAATTAAAATATTTTGGTGACATTTTAATTTTTATATTTTCAAAGCTTCTGAAAATATATTAAGAGGTCCACTTTCTGATGAAACTGAAGCATCTGATGAAGTAGATGGTGAACATGAAGATGTTGTCATAGATTCTGAGAGACTTGAGCCTAGATCTGATGAAGATGACACGTATGTCCAAATGATGCCCTTGTATTTTTGTTTTCTTTGGTTCCTCAAAGTGATTTTCCCTAAACAATGTTCTCCTGAAAAAAAAAGTTTTATTCTCAGCATTAAAATCCACCTCTCTCCTACATAATGAAATTTAGTAGCATTTGCTATCTTACAGGTTTTATTTGCTATATTTATAGTTAGTGATGGTCTGAAGATTAAACAGGATGCTTGTTATTAGCAGATACGCTAATAATTTGCTGGTGACTTTGAAAAAAATGAAAGCCTGAGCTGAAGTTAGATCCACAGTAAAGTGCAAAACCTTCTTGTATGAAAATCTTTGTACTCTGACCTTGAAATCTGATAACCAGTGGCAAAACCACTTGCCTAGTGATATGTTTGCTGCATTTGTATATTATTCTTCCTAAATTTTCATGTGTCATGCAATAAAATCTCTTTGGAACCTACTTATAGAGACATATTTATAGAGACCTTTTAAATTCTGTGTTCTGATTATGTTAGTGACCCACTTTGTGTTTTTGAAAGAGCGGAGTGAAAAATCAACACATTTGAACAAAAATACTGTGTTTTACAGATGTGTGTATGTTTTGGGGGTAGTTCTTGGATTCTCAGAGTTTCAATTTATGTCATTGTTTATTTTTGTGGCACTTAGAGATGAACTACTTAGGCATGTATTGCTGTAGTTCAGTTGCAGGCTGTCAATATCAACACATTTTCAGTCTCTATATGAATTTGGTTTTGGTTTTGATAAAAATTACTTTAGTAAATTCCAAAGAGAACATCTTTTGGTTCCTTAATCACAACGGTGCAGGAAATATGTCTCTTGCACTGATATTTTTAACATAATTTATCCTAGTTATTGGGTAATTTTTTCATGGGGGAAAAAAAGGCAAAGATTTATAAAGTTGTATTTTGCTTTGCAAAACAACATTTTGAAATCTATTTTTAGGGACTTCGAGGAAGACGACCCAGACTGGATGTCGGAACTGAAAATGGCATTGAAACACAGTGACTGAAAACTTGAATTTACCTATGATAAGTGAAGTTGGGTGTGCTGGTCTTTATAATCAAAATAGTTGTTAATAATTGGTTATTAAAATAATTTAAGTCAAATTCCGAGTGGGCATGTTTTCTGTATCGCAAAACTGAGCATGCAAAATGCCCAACAAACCTTTTCAGATAGAACACTTGCAAATAACTAAACAAGTCCAGATATTAAAGGTATTTGGAGTTGGTAATAGCTTTGCAGAATTGATCAGTCAAACAATAGCATTGTTCAAATCATCCTCTTGTCATATTTCAAAGAGAAGGTGTAACACTGTGAGAAGGTGTAAAGTTATTCTTCCTGACTACATACTGAATTAACAGCTTCGTGTTGAGTTGACCCCGGCTGGATACCAGGTGCCCACCAAGGCTGCTCTGTTACTCTCCTCCTCAGCTGGACAGGGAAGAGAAAATTTAATTAAAGGCTCATGGGTGGAGATAAGGACGGGGAGAGAGGAGATAAGGACAGGGAGAGATCACTCACCGATTAACGTCATGGCCAGAACAAACGTGACTTGAGGAAATCAGTTTATTACCAGTCAGAGCAGAGCAGAGTAATGAGAAATAAACCCAAATCTTAGAACACCTTCCTCCCACCCCTCCCTTCTTCCCAGACTCAGTTTCACTTCAGTAGTCAACGCTGAGCCCAGCAGCTATGGTAGTAGTGCCTCTGCATCAACAGATTAAAGGAGGGGAGAGAGAAGAATGCTGACAGGGACATCGATGGGTCTGTGTTCAAGCCAGCTGGAATTTGCTCTGTCAGACACGGGGGAAGCTTCTTGCTGAAGGCACTCCTGTAGCTCCTCTCTGCTGACGTATAAACCCAATACACACATAGTAAAAGTGATGTTATCTGAAGGGCCTGTTATGGGAAACAGCTATGCTAAACATTTGAGGCTTTAGTTCATGCAATTAGTCCCCTGAGAACTCTTGAGACTGAACTTTTGCCTTAATTCAATGAAAAGGGTTTTTTATATGCCATTGCATGTGTGAAAGGAAGCAAATTTGTTCATAAATAAGGACAAATTTTCCAACTTATACTTCAGAGAGTGCTATGGGCAATGTTGTGTTTGGGCTCTGTGCTGGCTACTGGGTACTAAACACTTTACAAGGCAAGTGTGGCAGAGAAGAGCACAAACACTCTCAGCAGAGTTCTCCTGGGGCCGTCCCAGACAATGTCCACATAATAAATAATATCGGAGAATAATACCCAAAGAAAGCTTTAGGACATCGGTAGATTTGGTACGGAGCCAGTTCCTATTGCACCTCCTCTCTTGCTCGTAGGCTGGAACTTGAGTTTCCACCAAGGATTCAACAACTTGAGGCAGTCGAGATTTGCTTTCAGGCCACTCCTGTTACTGACCACCCAAATCAAAAGTCTCTTGTCGTAGGCGGAGAGAGTGGTTTGCGTAGGGGAAATAATGACTCCGGTTGCTCCCGAAGGACGCTGCAAAAGCCACACCTCCGGCGGGGGCGCGGAGGCGGGCCGCTCCTCCTCCCCTCCTCCCCTCCCGGCCGGGCGGCGAATTTTGGTGAATTCTGGCGGCGGCTGAGCGGATTGAGGTAGCGACCCCCGCGGCGCCCACGGCGGCTGCGAGGCTGGGGCCGGCCGGCCGGGCCTCGGCTGGCCGGGCCGAGCAGGTCTGCAGGGGAGGGAGGCACCGGCAAGGGCTGTCTGCCGGCGCGTCCCGTCGCCATGGGACGGCAGGACAGCCGGGGCGGGAAAGGGCGGTGCAAGAGCGGTGTCCGCGGGAATGCTGGCGGCATCCTCTCCCGCGGCACCCGCGCTGTCTCTGCCCCCCGAGCAGGGCTGTAGACACGCACCCGTGAGTCGGTGTAAAGTCCTGCTGCCACGAAGCTGCCCTCCCGGGCAGCGGGGGGCGGGGGTGTCGCCTGTGGGTGCGGGGCTGAGCCTAGCGGGCAGCGCACCCCTGCCGGGGTGAGAGGCTCATCTGTCCTGAGTGGCCGCGTCTCGCTTGTGACTGGAAACGGGAGCTGGCTTTTACCCAAACGTCGAAATTATAAATGCCCGAAGGTCGCCCTACTTGCACTGCCAGAGTGGTTTTTGGTGACGGCCAGTGATGCAGTCCATGCGGGCTCCCAAGGGAGCCTGTTGCAGAGCTTCCTTGGCCTGCCTGGCAGGCAGTGTCTGGTATCTGAACAAATCTCTCTTGCTAAAACTCAGGTCAAATAGTAAGAACAGTTTTGTAGTGTTTGCTCGTATTTATGTGTGCTTGCTCGTATTTATGTGTGGGAGTATGCTTATGGAACCATGGCAAGGTACCCAGTGACACTGCTGTTCCTGACAGATGTTTGCTAATGTCCAACTGCACTTGGCCATGATCTCCTGCAAAATGCAGTGGCTTTTCACTTCGTTGCTAATATTAGATCACTTTAGTATAAACTAAATCAACATGAAATAGATTAAAGCTATTTTTTCCATTAAAAGAACAATTCCATAATATTGTTAACTTCAAGAGATAATGAGTAACACTTTCCAAAATTATATCTTAATCTTACATAGTAGTGTCTACTGCATTCTCATGTATTAACTTTAGGGTGTACTTTAGGGTGTAGGATTTTCTTTATAAGACACTCATAAACTTGCTGCTTATTGAAAGTTCAGATCTGCAATAATTTGCATAATTCCAGAGGATGATATTTGTAGGGAGAAGCAGCAGCAGTAATGAAAATGTGATAAAACATAGTAAGAAATTATAAAAATGGCAGTCTTAAAAGGTAGTATCTCTTTCAATAGCACCACCTCAGATGTTGCAGCACTGACTACATACAATACTAATTTGGGCATTTTTTATTTTAGCCCCTGTTTTAAGTTGAAGACATCATGGATAATTATGAAATAATTAAAAAAATTGGAGAAGGATCTTTTGGCAAAATATTCTTGGCAAAAGGAAAAATGGATAATGAGCCGTGTGTTATCAAAGAGATCAACTTAACTAAGGTAAAACAAAAAACTGTGATTTATATTTACTGGATTATGCTACTTACATTTAGCTAGGATATGAACTTGGGTTATTTTTTATCTCCTTTGTAGTTCCATCTCAATTATATGGAGCTAAACTTTCCAAAGACTGTAGTCTTAGCTAATTTAGTATTTTACAAGCATAAACAAAATATGTATTTCAATATTCTTTACTTTTTACTGCAGTTTTGTTCTTTTCAAAACTTTACCTACTTGTGTAACACTGACTAATGCAAATTTTATGTTTGTTGATTCAACTACAATGAAAATATTGCCACTGAAATAACAAATGACGATTTTGTGATACATTTCTTTAAGCTTTTTAATTTCCTTTTTTTCCACGTGCTTATTTTCAGACATAAGTAATTCACAACGGTGCCTTTCCAATTCTCATTTGTGTTTATGGCAGTTTGATTCATCTCATCTAATTTTAAATTTCCATTCTGTTGTTGTCAGCATCTGAGCTGCTTGGCTAGACTCCCTTTCCAGGAGAACAAGAGAAATAGGTACTTTGAGGAAGCTGTTGATTATGTGTGTTTTAGACCTCTGTTTAAGAAAGAGCTGCATCTGGCCATAAAACTGCTCTCTCTCTTCCCCTTGACTGCAGAGGCAGCTTAGGGCCACGTGCTCAGGTATCAGAGGAACACTGCTATATCTAGTTCCAGAAAGGCAATTAAAATCCCTGGGGTTTAACAGTCAATTTCAATGAGTGCTTACATGCTTTTGACCAGCCTTTTGTTATTCTAGGCCACATTAGTGAATTTTTAATATATTCAGAATTACAGTAGAAGAATGAAAGAGCTGTATAACTTCCAGATTCAAACCCAGAAAAACTGATATGCTAGTAATGACAGCTAAATGCAAAAACAGTTTCTCTCTGTTCTCTTGACCAATAAACCCCATGCATTTCCAGTCTTAGATTTTGATGTTCACAAAATAGAAAAATGGAAGCTAATGAAATATTACTGTGGATCCCACTTGTTCAAAAATCAGGAGCTGGATACAGATATTTACTACTTTGAAGTCCTAAAGTTTTTTATATGGTAGGATGTGTTTTATTCACTTTATTATTTTTGAATCTTTGAGGATTACATTTCAAAATATTTGCTAAGAATGAGGATAAGTTCCTTTTTATAAATACAAGAAAATATTTTGATGGATAGATACTCAGATAAATTATTTTTTAAGAAGTAGTATTGATGAAAATGTGATCACAATGAACCGAATAGAAGTGTTCATTTAATGTAACAGGGCAAAGAGTTTGCCCAAAATATTGCAAGAACTTGTAACACCACTAAAAGGAAGGCCTTTTTTCCCTTTTTGCTTTATTCTTTCGTGATCCTCCGTAGTAGGAATAGAGAATCATCAAGACCCATGTACTTCAAATACTTAAGGGAAGTTTAACATTAGAGTTTAACTCTACTCGTCAGCTACCTTACCGATAGCATTTGTGTAAAAAGGTTTAAGGTATACATTTGCTTGTTTGTAAGATCTCATAATTTGGTTTGACTTCAGTAATGTTCTAATATGTTTCCAAGCATACACTGCAAATTTATATTTTACGTTATATATAGATCATATTTTATATTTCTGTATCACCTTGGTACACAGTATTTTTGTATTTGTGGGAATAGTTTTATAATGATGTAAAAATTTCTGAAAAGAGTTAAATATATCATTGCTAGCATATAGTTTCTTAATTCTTTGTAGATGCCTGTGAAAGAAAAAGAAGCCTCTCAGAAAGAAGTCATTCTTCTGGCCAAGATGAAGCATGCAAATATTGTAACCTTCTATGCTTCAGTGCAAGGTTTACTTTTAACTCTTGTGTTTTACTTGTGATTAAAGGAGTGGAAGGCAGAAAACCTACTTTATTAATATTGACCAACCTTAGCCCTGTCTCTAAGCCCTTACTTAAAAGTGCTAACAAGCCCCAAGTCCTAGAAGTGGACACTAGGCATCAAATTCAGTCATCAGTTGCCCTCTTCACGTGTGTGAGTGGGTACTGTGGCATGAATCGCAGATCCTGTGGTGCCTGTACTGCATAAGTTGAACTTAAGTCTTGATCTCTTATAGGAGTCCAGAGTTT